TCAAAATACCACATACATTAACACATACTCGGTGAAAAAGAAAACACCTTGAGCTTTTCAATAAATAATTGCTCACTTTGGGGCTTGTGGTCGGCAGGGTTATTACATAAAGAACCTATATATTAAAAAAAAACGATAAAATATCAACTTGCTGGTAGTGCGCAAATAATTCATTCCTCGCGTGCTACATACTGTAACTTTTTAAGTTACGTAAGACCCCTGCCGCTCAGCACTCACTCCGTTAGAGTTAGGAGTATCAACTCTGTTCTTGTCATGGAAGAGAAAAGAGATCAAACAATCCACCAATTGAACACCATTTACAACATGAATATCACTAAATCAAATAGAAGTTGAATAATATTTAAAAAGTCTTAGATAAGCGGTCAAAAAAAGATAGAAGGAAAATTGGGCACCACCTTCTAATGAATGGCTTTATAGTTATTACAACAATCTCATACATGTTGACAAGTATTTATTTCTGATTTACAACAGTACAACTATATAATCACAATATCATGACGGTTATTATCACAGTTATTCACTTACAACATGCATCGATTCCATCACTCCGAATTTGAGCTTGCTTACTTGACTCGTTCAAAAAATAAGTAAGGGGACTGGTTGAAAGGCACTGTAGGCTTGTAAATACTAAAAACGCTACTTACACTAATTACTCTCAAATTCTTGCTACAATTAGGTAATATTTTCGTGGGCATCGTAATTTACCACAAGCAGCTCAAGGTGTGCCGTATATGATTTATAAGCAGAAAAAAATCCGGAACTGTATCGAAAGTTGCTCCATCATCTGGAAAATCATCTGTTTTTATGCTGCAGATTTCATAATAATTACCGTCCTTACCGATGTTCGTTCTGAGTTTTCATTTTAATTGATATGCACCTGCTAATTTTGTATGGTGGATTCCATGAGAGGGAGAATATTCAAAGAGGATCATCAATTATGACAATAAACAGTTTTGTGTTTTTGGGTTTCCGCTGTTTTTCAATAATCGTATAACTGATGATACTACTTGCCGTAAATATCGTAACCCGTAACCAAATTTTTATCCTACAGAGTACTATTTGTTTTTACTAGTTTTGCCACAAAAAGAATTTGTTACATAACTAGTTTGAGATGTACCTAAGCCATTATTGAACAGATATATATATATATATATATATATATATATATATATATGTTCAAAGAAAAAGAAGATCATCTCATTCTCACCTCTAGTGCTCTTGATTTCATCTCGATATCACAAAACAACTTGATCTACAGATCAATAGCATTTTTTAGTATTCAAAATAGCATCCTATATCTCATTAACAAGAGCCGTCTTGTAATACATGGCTAAATATCTCTGCTCAAAAACTGGCTAACACGAGATTTCCTTCATTCCTTAGGCTAAGTTCAGATGATGCGCGCCCGATGCGTAATCCTTTGACGCTCGCTTGAAAATAACACAAAATCACTACTAAAGTCTGTCTATCCAAGGAAGACATTAAACCAAAACATTGCCTGCGCGGCATAATAAAAATACCAGCACGTGTTCAGTGCCCAGATGCAGGACCAAGGCCAACCAGGAAGGTGGAGTGGGAGATGACACCGTGATGCATGCAACCTCGCCGGCCGTCGGCGTTCTGGAGTCCGATCACTTGAAGTATGCGTGGATACGCTTAGGTTTAGTTTATTTCTTCTGTAGATGGACCATTGGTGATACATGAAAATGCGTGTCAGAAAATCGTTCCCATCGCGTGTTCAGTTGGCGCACGTCTTTCGTTGCATTGAGTCGACATGCCTGGTGTGTCTTTCAAAGAATTACTTTCTATCGATTGATATTGACATTGAAACAGAAAGAATTTAACACAGATCTTTGTATTAATTGAATTGTAAAAGGGACACGCATTTCGAATTATATTCAAATAAGATAACACACAATCGTCCTATTTTTTGCAACTCCGATGATACCAAAGAAAAAAATATATCAGGTAGATTTATTCTAAATGCTTGATTTATAATTGGCGGTTACAATAAAGACAATAATTCAAATCATTCTATCATGACAATCAACGATTTTACTGATATTCCGAAGTAGTATTTTTGAAGGCTGCGGTAGACTGTAAGGAATAAACTTGTTGAAAGTCTATTCCCTAAAATGTGAGAGAATCCGGTATGCATGCTTTCTTTTCTTCTCTAATCAAGCTCAAATAGCTTAATCCACATTCATTCTCGTTAACTAAAGACAATAAACTGACATTCGAATTCCTAGTCCTCGATATAAAATCACACGCGTGCTATCTGGACACCGACCCCACAAACCCGCGAACTAAGGTGAGCCTTAGTGTGCTATGCTCTTCTTGGCGGAGACAAAAATCTCAGAGTCTGCACCGGTTAATCCTCTTAGCTTCCCAAATTACGAGGTGCACTTGAGAAAGAATGTAGGAGTTGTGGCGGTTGTCCGCAGCAGTCTTTCCTGCTTCAGAGACGTTTCTTTGGAATCGGACCGGAAGGATATTCTGAGGCTTCGCCTCTATTCCAAAACATTCCCAAGTTTATTTGCTGCCTTCTTCGCTCTCCATCGGATCATAACTGGGATGACATTTTTGAATTCCTCGGTGATTTTAATGCCCATGATGAGCTTTGGTTCGGCTCGAACAAGACCCATGCAGCAGGTCGTGCCTTTGAAGCCTATTAACGAAGGACTGACCCAGTTGGTGACGAACAATAGTTTTTCCCCGCGTTTCACCACTCGCCAGTAGCCTGCTGGATCTCTTTGTGACCACGCATCCTGTCCCTTACTGCACTGCTGTCTTGTCTCCTCTGGGTAACTCAGACGACATGCCGACTGGGAGGGGCTCAGAGACTTATTTTCCACCTTTCCTTGGAGAGATCTATATTTCGCTGACGCGGATGCGTCGGCTGTCTGTTCATCGATAACAGAAATTACCCACGTTGGCTAAGGTCCATCGGCTGGTTCAACAAATCGTGTGACATTGCTTGTCAGCAGAAGATCAAGGTAAACAGAACCTTCTTACAAAACCCCACTGTAGAGAACACACAAGCCGACGTCGAGTCCAGAAACAAATATAACGCGCGATGTGCCTGCTTGACACACTGGCCTAACTTTGGCCTCCCATCGTAACCGTGTGGAACTTCGTACATCCAGAACTGGCCGATGTGACCGCTCCCTTATCCCGAGGGTGTCAAGATTGTGGAAAAATCTACCAGAGGAAGCTTTTCCCAGTTCTAAAAACGTTAGGCAGTTCAAAAATCGGATTTACAAAATTTCTTTGGGATAGTCATAGCAGTCGCGGTGTCCTGGTATTTAGGCTTCTGCCTGCGCGGCTGCTTGGGTGTAAAAAAATAATTTTGAACTGTTTACGAAGGGAAGGCCTTCTATATTCTGCATCTATTGCAGTTCAAAAACAATAACTATGTATATATGCCTCCATTTTCATATAAGATCTCAAGGGAGAGGGAGAAGGTAGAAGGCTATACTCCTAACTGCAAAATACCCACAAAGAGGAAGCTTCGATGAGGAGTTCAGCATCTCAGCTGTGTACATTGTCTCTAAATATTACTTTATTGTAGTCTCATACATTTCTTCATCCCTTCCAGGCAGCCAGGGAACTCATCATTTAGGATTTGCTTTTGTCGGTGCTTGGTTCTTCAAATGATAGATCACGATTAAATCGCCTTTATTAGCATGACTAAAACATTGCTTTCAGTCACTCATTAAATACGCATACGATCATATTAATAAGCTATTAGTGTGCCTATATTGTTATTAGGCTAATCGACGTATCGTGAGAGATGCAAAAAACAACGAAAGCATTTCTCCGTCAGAATGCGTTCAGTTCGCATAATTGTTCATAGAAAATCTCGTTGCATAGTAAAACTGAAACTACTTTCATTGCAGCAATCAAGCACACTTTCATATAATTTCTTTTTTTAACTGCATTTCCTTGTAGAATGATACTGTTTGTGTACGTACAAAGCAGATGATTTTCGCATTGGAGGATGCATTTCTGACTACTTTTACTGTTATTTTTTTCTAGCAATTTACTAAAACATGTGTGTTACTATTTTGTGATACTGAGAATTCTATATTGTAGTACTTTTCGAACGGCTGTTTTCACATTTTGTTGCAATATGAAGTGGATTGTCTAAAGTTTCAGTTAGTGATGTTGAAAATCGTGTAGAATTCTATACTATTTTTATAGAAACCATTCCACTTCAATCTTCAATATTTGCGAGTTATCCGTTTTAAGGTAACTTCGATCAGTTATATTATCTGATATCATCTGTAAAGTATGAGACGAATAATAAAAATATTGCGTAAGCTGGACAGAAGAATGGCGAGGCAAATATTGTAAAGTGAATGTCCAAATATTTGATCCGATCTATTTTAAATTACATCTTAAAGCTAACAAAATATTAATAATTGTGCAAAAATAAAGAATGATAAATATTTATTTCCTTTGACCTCTCCAGATATTATTAGACTAGAGTTCAAATCTGAATTTTGATAAGCATACAAAAACGAGGCTTGGGAATGTTAGCATCTTGCCATCTCTAATGAATTAAAGAAAGTTCGCTGTCTTCCAAAACATTTTGACAAACTAACCTGCAAATGAGAAAATAGTAAAACTTATGTAGGGTTGAATGAATAGTAGTTTTTTGTGGCCTCCTTATTATGAAGGTTATTATTTGAGGTGGGTATGCTCCTACATTCCGTGACGAAAGTAGTGCAAGAAGGGAGAACGGCAGGGATATTACGTATTTTGGAAAGTGACAATATATAGTTTTTTTTTGTAATCTTATATAGGATTTTTTTGACATTATATAGGTTTTTTGCGACATTATGTAGATGTCAACTTAGAACGAACTGTTCTACACTTGTTGTGTACTCGTTCCGTAGCTGTACGTGTTGTCTAAACGTCATTATGCTCCAGCTATCAATGTTTGGCTCTGATGTGATGTACCATCTGCTTCAGAGATGGCATTATTGGAGGTCTAAGCTGTAAGTTGTATATCATAGCTGGAAGGAAACGGCAGTGCATATATGCATAGTGAGGTTGGAGAAGTATATTAAAACTAACAGGTGAGAGAAAATATGGTACATCAGCAATATTTATGAAACAAATAATTTATTACATTTCACATGAATTGTTAGTTCCAGTCGTTTAAATTTTATAGAAATTTATTCTACGATGTCAAGTAGAAAATACAAATCAGAGCCTAGATGTGAGGCAGTGCGAAAATGTGTTGTATGTGATGCGTCATTCCTAATTTTTCTGTGACGTGGCTTAATTGCACACAACGCGGATGTGGTGCCGATTTCCCGTAATACTTCTCAAAGTTTTTGAAAACGCGAAAAACCGGGGAAAACCGTAATGTATAATAATAAAAATATAATAATAATAATATTTATTCGAAAAAATAAAAAAATTAGCAAATAAATATGAAAAAAATCACAGAAGGCATCGCCTGTGTGTGGATTATATTTTAATAACTAACAGTCAATTATATGTGTATAGAACTTATTGTTGATTCTAAAAAGTATTTATATAACTTGAATTTTGTAGTTCGGGCTTTCTATAATATTATCTATAGTCATTCGCTGCACAGTAGAAACTCAATCTTTGAACATATCCTCTCTTCAGAAATAATAACACGTCTGGGACAGCTAATAGATACATTTCATGGGCAGCAAATACGGTAATAATTTTCTCACATAGCAAGTATCACTCACTGATTTTATACCCTTGCCGACAGACAATCATCCAGATGTGATCGTGCTACTCTGCTACTCAACCGCATATCTCAGATTAGTATGCTCTACAGACGATCTCGGCATTTTGCAACCAACAAACTGACTTGCAGCTTGAGTTATGCCTCCATAGATGGACGCTTTTGATAAAGCTCACAGCGCTCATAGTGAGCAAACGCGAAATTTACTATTTGCACAGTAGGAGCTATCTAGGCAGCAAATTGACATGTTGTCGGTTTTTTGACGTTTTTTAGGTATTTTAGGTAATATCCCTGCTGGGCCTTGAATCAAATGTTAGATTGAACAAGGCAGCTGTCCTCCTCGAGAAAGGTAACTGAGAAGCCTCCTGTCAAGCATCCTCACAATACCGAGAAGTGACTGGGTATTCTTAATATTACGTTTGCATAGTTATGAAGCACTGTTTCGTGGATTTTCAAACATTTGGTAAAACCATCATGGATTCAATGTTGTCTACCAAAAGGGATCACCGTATATAAAAACTGCCAGTAAAAAAACGTCGGTGACTAATTTTATTACTTCACACCGCTCTGATATGTTTCTAAGGGATAACTGTTTTCCCTGCAAGATCAAGTGAGGCATGTGATCTACAGCTTTTTGTGTGTCGGCATCATCTCTGTTAATAGGTGTACAGCCTTTATGGGTTCCTAACTAGGAACACATGTTACGCACGATATCTCTTTCAGTCTAGGGAGAAATCACTGTCTAGCTTATGAGCTGGGTTAAAGAAAAGAAAGGTTTTCAAGGGCTGCGGTTGATTTTATTAGTTTGCCAGTTTTTCTGATACTAAAATTCTTAACAAAATGATTAAGGAGTATTTTTGTTGAAGAAGGTGTCAAGCAGTGCCTGACAATTGTCGTACACCTATCTTCGAGTTTCAAAAGGCAGTGGTACAGTAGAGTTATGGATTTTGTTCGACATTAGATGTAATTAGATTTTCTAAAATGGTACAGCATGCTAAAATATAACTATATGTCATATTGTTCGCCAAAGGCGATATTTGTACTGTGAGTAGCTCACCGCCGGACCGCACCGGTCTGCGAGATAGTGCAGCACTAACAAATTTAAACTTCGCCCTAATCTGAACCAATGACCCATGTTTATAGTCTGATCACTAGACCTGCTCTAATGTTCGTTTGTACCGTTGAACTATATAAAGTAAAAATAACCAGAGATCATAGTCAAACATGTCTTGCATCGTTTGTTAAACCATATCTTAATGCAAGTAAGCGATGATTGAATTATAAATCCAATATGTAGTGTTTATAAGTCCGATTAGTTGTAATCACTGAAACCTTTTACCTAAACTGAGAAAATTTTTGTAACTACATTATATTTCAAACTTCGTTTCATGTATTTTGACATTCGTTATAAACCTGATTTTGTAACAGAGCTCATATTTACCCAGTTATGCTAGACTTACGTTCAAACTTTTCTGGCTATGTATCTGCAACACGATCGTCAAGTTTTTATTTATATTTTGGACACTCTATAATATGTTTTTAATTATACCTGAGAATATTTTGCATATAAAAACGGTAGGAATTTTTCAATATTATGTGTTATTTGCAAATAACTGCTTCACTATATTTTCAACATATTAGGCAGGAAAATGTAATCATTCGCGGAGCTAGTACACTCTGTTTTGGGGAATTTGTAGTATTTTTTCACTGGTAATAATCAACCTAAAAAATCTGAGAAATGAGGGTCGAAATGCTATGAATAAATGGTGCCAAGTCCCTGCGGTTCTCACGCAACAATGTCATCAGTATAACAAACAAACTTTATTTATTTATTTTACAGTTTTTCAATTAGTCTTCAGCCCCCAGCCCTGTCTGAGAATGTGGCAGTCTCCTAAGATTTGTTTAGTAGCATAGAAATACTTTTGTATACAATACTTGAAATACACAACATTTTTCTCTCGTCAATATCCAGTTCTAGCCGGTCCCTATGAGAAAAATTCCTGCGAGCCCCCATATATGAGGTTCCAATGCATCTCTTTCCCGAGAAGATCTTCTCCTCTGGTTGGTTAGTTATAAAGGTGAAATATATAGCGAAATTTATGCTTCAAGTATGTCTAATAGGTGCATAGTAATACCAGGATTAGAGGCATATAAATATATTACCCTCAAAAAATTGAGACAAACTCCCCCATCAGCACACTCTTATATCCTGCAATCTTTCTCTCCCTCAAAAATTTTTTGAAAATACGGAAAAGGCTCTGGAGGTTTGAGAGATTTTTATTTTTTCCCGTCTTTTAGATCGATTTTCAAAAGTTGCTTAGCTTTTCCAACCTTGTGTTCAAGTTTCATCAATATGCGATCGGTACTTTCCAAGTTATAGATGGAAAATGCGCACGTAATATCCCTAAAACTTTATATCTCATTTTCAATTGCCGACTACAATACTTCCTTCCTAGGGGCATGGAAAGTGAAACGACACTAGCTATGTGGGCGAGTAGTATTGTAAATTGTTTGTTATAATATCTCCTCACCTTTTAGCAGTAACTGTTCAGTCTGCTGATAGGTAAACAATTAATCTGTTGAAGCTGATGAAAAAGACCTGACCCAGTACACCTTACTATTATTGAGTACCAGAAAGATTAAACTTGACATTATTTAGTTGACACGGTCAAGTGATTTCCGACCGCTGTAGATTGGTAAAAAACATTCAGATAGCGATATAATTAATGGATTTAAAAAATGACCTTTTAACCAGATCAAAATACGGAGAAATGAAAAATATGTTCTCGAAATAATAGGGAATGATAAGAGACACTAATTTAATTCATATACATAGTATCCAATATTCTTATTGCTGGTTCAAATCTAGCTTGTGTCTCGAAAGCGTTTGCGACACTCGTTCTGTCCACAAAAAAAAACATAACTTTATAGTATATAATATCATCTTTTCTAGATGAAGAAAATAAATATCTTCAAGTATATGAAATTTATTTTCCAGAACATGCCTTGTCGACTATTTTGCTTTGCGTTACTGAGGGCCTAGCAATTGTCGCGTGCGCACTAAGTAACCAATAAAAGCTAAACTTGTCAAGCCCATGCATGCATCCCGTAGGGGCAACTAATTGCAATTTGTTTTATCAAAGATTCCGAGGTTGAATGTCGTTAATAGTTAATAAATGCTTTGTCATTACTGATCCGAGAAATCATCATTATTGACGGCAGTACCTTATCGAAACGAGGCTTTTCGCTCCACACGTAAGTGATGAAAACAAAATAATTACCTACGTAAGCAACGAATGTCATCCAGGATTGTTACAACCTAATTGTACCCATCCCCTAATCATCCTATCTTTCCACAAATCAATAACTCATTTAATAACTCAATCCCCAAAAGTGTTATACCAATCAAAACGAATCTTATAAAAAGATAATCCAGAATCCTAAACCTAAACAAGGCGTTCCATTTGAGTTTGTTTCAATTTGCGTGTATAACCACTCTGTGTAGATGATGCGTGACATCTAAAAAATGTTCAAGTGACAGGAAACAATGGGATGTGAAGTTTATTTTGGAGGAATGTTTGCTACTCTTTCTGAAAAGGTGACGACTTACAAACTGCCAAAGTTGAACGTCTATTCATACAAAATATCCCATAGCTCTAGAAGTAGCGATCCAGTCTCCATAGCATGTTATATCAAAGTTCTTCCTTAGAAGAGGCCTTTCCGGATATACTAAAATATATACAGGATATTTCTTTTGAAAAAGGTGTGCGTTTGCGATTGTCACCTAGTTATGAATGATTGAATAGAACGCCACATTTTTAAAGAAGCGTTTAGTTGCCTAAAATGACCGACGACACACTTAAAACTCATCCTGTATGTATTTGGAAAGAATGAGAGAATGATGATGTTAGATGTAGCAGTTTACGTACCTATCCTTCTTAAATACAATGCTAATAATATCGCAACACGACTTTCAATTTTGGTATACGGAAAAACTCCCAACCAGCATTAGCACATGGCTGCCCAGGAAAAGCACCCAAATCTACTTTATGGTGCAATGATTAGATTGAGTTTGTCAGTCCAATAACAGGTAAATATATATTTTAGGGTTTGTGAAATGAGTAGGAATCATCATGGTCGATAATTTCTGTTCAGGATAGGTCTGACAAAATTAGTACTTACATAGTTCGTTTGAGAGGGCATTACAAGAGTGTTCGACTGAGAATTTCTCACTTCTTAATCTTGGTATATGAGGTGCATCTTAATCGGCAATATTTGTTCAGCCCAGCTGTAATTTTTGATATTTATGATCTATTTTCATGTATTGCTGTGAGATTGCCAAAATATCGGAATCCTACTTAATGTAAGTAATGTACGATGCCGTGATGCGTAGAATTTCTTCACTCATTCTTGCTTCATTTTGTGGTTCTTCTGACCAGGTATGTGTTATACACATTGCAGATATAGTCGAGATACAGGATACAGCTTATTATATCCGAGATATACATAGAAATCTATATACCACTGACATCGCAGTGTGTACGAGAGAGAAGCGTACTATATGTATACATATTTTAGAAAGAGATAGAAGCACCACATTGCCCAGCAACCCGAGTGCTATCGGTGTACTCTTTCTATCTTACGTATTGCATGCTTCTCGCGCTTCTCTCTCGTACACATTACCTCGTCAGTGATATTTGGATTTCTCCGTATAGGAGGGCCACAAATAGTGCCCGCTTCGATGCTTCATAATACGAAATACGAAAATGCACAAGTTTGTCAGCCTGGCAGTCCGCCATTTTCAAAGACAGTAGGCCGCCCTCCCCTCATTTTGTTTTTTTTTTCGATATGCTTTGGGTTGGACTGGAGCTAGAATATACATACTGTTTGTCCATACACTTCAGCGTTGCACGACAACTGTAAGGGAGCATTCAACAAAAACCCTACTGTCCTAGTTTTATAAACCCACATTTACAATACCTTGTGCATTTTTCATGCATAATCATCCCAAATGATTATTCAGAATTCTTACTTTTTGCTTCTTCAACTTGTCATTCGATGTGTGGAATCACATTCCTTCAAATTTATGTCCATACTTTTTGAATGGGAATTGTATGGGAATTACTGAGTAAATCTACTTGACATTTTTATGTGCTGTTATTTTTTCTTGAAGGTGTTCTTTGTTATCCCCTCTAGAGGAAAAATCAGGCACTTCCGGGCTAGTGGACGATAAATCCTTAGATCATTCTGGTTTATAGAACATGGAAATTCACAAACTTTTCCAAAATTCTTTACCTCACGGTGAAAAATATTACATTCGAACAGTGATTGTGCTTGATTTCGAGCTCTGACAATTTACTGGAAAATAATCTGCTGACTAATTTGACAGTCATCAAACAGTCAGAAGTTTCTGTACGAACACTGGATCAGTTGTCGGTAATCGGTCCAAGCCCCTTCAGCCAACTCAAAACGTACTCTGACTAGGTCATGACTTGTCCCCGACTCTATCAGTTTGCTGATTGTCAGCCAACAGGCTGTACGAACAAACCAAAAATGAATATCGAGAGTGTGGAACGATCTACCAAAGGAAGTCGTTCCTGATTCTATTATAGCGTTCGCTGTACTTCGGTGTTTAGGCTATGCCTTGGTAACTACTTGCATATGGTAAAAATATTATGTCCAATGTTCTCAATAAACAACTAATATGTAGATATTAATATTCGATGGCATGGGATATTTGTTCTAGTTATAGAAGACACGATAGACCAAAGGAAATGCTATGCACTTTGCGTATGCTTACTATCTGCCATCCGTCTCCTCATTCATGGCTGCTGGGATTTCCCTTTCACAATGTTGTAGTGGCAAACTTCCTTACACAGCGTAAAAGTGAAACCGACCGATGCCGACGTCGAGCGACCAAGGCAGGTTGGTGCGTCGCGGCGCATCGGCGAATCTGTTGAGATAGCCATGACCCGGTTGCCTCGATGCGTTGTTGTTTTGTGCCATCAGGCGCTACCAATGGCGTAGCACTGGAAAGCAATGCCACGAGACTATTAATGTTAATTTACCCATCTAGTTTTTAACTTTAAAATGTTTGTTACAGATTGAGAAATATCAAGCATTACTGTGGCGGAAAATTTGCCGAGTAACTAAATAGTTTTAGTGAGTATGCCGCCTTTCGGAGAATCTCACACTTCGAGCAAGAAAACTGACGGGATGATTCAGGCTTGCTTTTCAGCCTGAGAGTTGCTAGAACAGCTTACCACGCGTGCTGTGCACTAAGCAAAAAATAACTTTTTCAAAAATCTTCCTTACATTATTTCAACGGGGTATTTTTCAAAAATTTGGTGAGGCTACAATGGGGGAACGAAATGATTTCTACGTTTGGTAATGTAAATTTTTAGCGCAACGCTAACCACAATGATAAAGTACTGCAAGCATTACCGTGGTGAAGAGTGTATCGAGTAACTGAGGAGTTTTAGCCAGTATGCCGCCTTTCCGGAGAGCTTTCAGCCTGAGTGCAACTAAAACTGCTTACGATTCGTGCTGTGCACCATGCAAAAGATAAACTTTTCAAAAATGTGATTCATGCCATTATTCCATAAATTTGATTCTAGCGGATGGGGATACGTTGAGGGGACGGAATGCTAATACATTTGGAGGTATGGAGACTTGGCGCAACTCTACCCAACACGAAGAAATGCTGCAAGGATTTCCGTGTTGGAGGTTTGCGAGTAACTTAAGGGTTTTAGTGCATATCCCGACTTATTGTATCACGTATACCTACATCGTTCGGACGTACTTCTGAATGTGTTCCGCCCTTCTTTATTGTTGTCCGGACAAATAATCAACTTTGCCAGCTTGCATGAGAGTCTTTAAGATAGAGTAGCGAACTTTTCGTCCAAGTGAACTTGAAATTTTATCATCTATACATGGTGCTTATA